ACACCTCCCTGCTGGAAAAAAAAAGCACTCAGGGTGACTAATAACAATATTAACTCCTTTAAAACAAAAGCTCGTTTGTTAAAGACATAGTAAAAACACAGCACATCCTTGCGCCCAGCCAACTGGAAACCCTTTAGCCACAGACCAGCTGACTGTTTTGGCTTACCACGTGATTATTAAAGATGAGGAAGCTGGCAGAAGAAAAAGAGGTGGCAGCTGTACTTAAGCATCACAACATGACTGAATACACAGGGGCTGAAATCCTGTTGCTCGGTGCAGTAAGTCACAACTGGAGTAGGCCCATTTGAATCAATGGCAATTATAGAGGAACTGACTCAAGAAAACCCAAAGATTCAACAGGCCCACTCTAGACGGATTTACTACGCTAAGTAACCAGATCTCAGATACTGTAGTGGTTCAATACTCAGCATTTAAATCCTACACACATCAAGACTTCTGCTTGGTGGATGAAAGAGGTCCAACAGAAATAATGCAAGCTCAGTGTGACTGAGTTAATTTTAATTTTTAATGAATTGTTTAATGTTTTAAAATTAATTTCTTTCTCATGGCACACTAACTGTTCATGTCTGGCATAGTAGTGGGATCCAGGAAATGGTTTGGTAATGGCTGCCTTAGATCTGTCTGCAAAGCACAGCCTCATGGAGTCTTTGGTTCAGAACAAAGGCAGAACTGACTGGGAACCGGTTTAAATTTGTACTGTCAAGAGGCAACTGGAGTCTCTTCACTATTATTTTGCTCTTGCCTTTTCATCTCAGTAGTTTGCAGTAGTTCCCACAGTATTCTAAGCCAGTAAGATATACAGGTTTAAACACAAAAATAATGACATAGGCTATTCTCTGATCACAACTACTGTAATTGTCTCCCTGAAGTAGAGGCTTTGGACATAATGCGTTACAAGTAACAACATTACCTATAGGGATAAAAACCTTTGAGTCAGTCAGAATGGGGGGGGGGGACACACAAAAGAGGCACTTTGATTTTCAGCGTCTTCATAACTTTATCATACATAACCTCCAATATGCAAATTAGTTCAGGGATTTCAAAACAGAGGGTAATGGAGCATTTCTATTCCCTCATTTCTATTACCTCTGTTTGACCCTTGCATGCCTCATTGATATTCCAGCATTATAGGTTAAAAATAAATAAATAAAAATAAAAAGACAAAAACATGGTGGCAACTTAAAAACTGTTATATTTCAATGTGAGCTTTTGTGGATAAGTCCACTTCCTCAGACATAATCAGTGGGCTTGTCTTCAAAAGTTCACATTAAAATAGAACAGTCTATTAGCCTTTTTAGGCTTTTATTAGGCTACCTCTTCTACAACTATGATATTCCAGTGTCTTCTCTTGTGCCCGAAAGGCTACTTGATGATTTGATCATCATCATCTTCACTATCATTGTCATGAGGATGTGATAAAATAGTGCCACTCTACATAGATCTGATGAATGGTGATGAATCAGTGATGACGATAACCTGATTATGTATCTGATGCATCTGTTTCTCATCCCTACTGTTTCCTCTTGCTGCTGATTTTAATTTATATAATGCTGCTGAGGATGTGATATGAATGTTGATGAATGATGTGAAGTGCCTGCTGCACAGGTCTGATGATGATTTATTTTTCTGTTTCTGTTTCTCAGGCACTATTGTGTTGCCTGCTTTTGGATTAGATTATCTATTGCTTTGACCTCCTGCTTTGTGAAATAGTTTTGAGGGATCTGCAGAGCTTATTTTAGCCTCAAGCCAGAGGGCAGAATGAGGAAAACCAAAATAAAATAACCCAAGGTTCAGGTATTTTCGAGTTTACAGAAAGAGTCCGTGGCAGAATGACACTAAAACAAATTAGATGGTCCCCCACCTTGAAAGAACTCTCAAATCCAAAATGTTTCCCCCTGCACATCTCTCATTAGGTATACATTGCTTTCTCTCCTAATGTTTCTAATGTCTACACTGGCAGGCAGCATTAATCTGTAGTCTATTACAGCAAAATTCATGAAGAGTCTTGTCTTGTGACTTTAGACACATTAAAGGCCAACAAATTTCATTTTGTTTTGCCTAAACGTTCATGGAGTGCACCTCAGTTTTTAAAAGTAACATGCCAACTATTATGGTGGGGTTTTTTTTGGGGGGGGGAGCGGGATAAGAGTAACATTTATTTCTATCTTACTGTCAACATGCCCATCTCCTTTCTAATTAATAAACAACTATTTAAGCAAGAAGTTTCAGCTTCCACCACCTTCAGTAAAGGTAAAGGTAAAGGTTCCCCTTGACATTTTTAGTCCAGTCGTGTCCGACTCTAGGGGGCGGTGCTCATCCCGTTTTTCAAGCCGTAGAGCCAGCGCTTGTCCGAAGACAGTTTTCCGTTGTCACGTGGCCAGCGTGACTAGGGAGCGCCGTTTTACCTTCCCACCGAGGTGGTCCCTATTTATCTACTCGCATTTGCATGCTTTCAAACTGCTAGGTTGGCAGGAGCTGGGACAAAGCGATGGGAGCTCACTCCATCGTGTGGATTTGATCTTACGACTGCTGGTCTTCTGACCCTGCAGCACACAAAGGCTTCTGCGGCTTAGCCTGCAGCGCCACCACGTCCCACCACCTTCAATACCCCTGATAAAAGTACTGTATGCTGTTTCCCAGATGACAGTTGGACAGTTCCCAATCTTGGGTCCCCAGATGTTCTTAAGACAAAAACCCCCAGAAGCCTTCACCACTAGCTGTGTTGGCCAGGATTTCTGGGAGCTGCAATCCAAGAACACCTGGGGACTCAAGGTTGGGAACCACTGCCCTAAAGGATGATACGGTGTACTCCTAGATCCCACTCTCTGTATCGTGTTCATCTGTTGTTCCAAATTCTTAGTCAAGACGGAAAATTTATGGCTTCTAGGTTTTTTTTCCTGTTCTTATCTTGGATTTCTGTTCTCAAGTAGAAGCAAAATTTAGCAAATGGAGCTGTTCTTAAGTTGGATTGTTCTTAAGTAGAGACGTTCTTAAGTAGAGACCCCACTGTACGTGTTGTCCTCTAGATTCAGTACATGAGATGTTAAGGCAGTCAGTCTATAAATCCAGAAGTTTTCCATATTTTCTAAGGTGCTTGGATTTGGTGGTACCTCTATTCTGACCAAAGACTGGTTAGCTAGGCATACTCCTAGATCCCACTCTCTGTATCGTGTTCATCTGTTGTTCCAAATTCTTAGTCAAGACGGAAAATTTATGGCTTCTGAATCTTATACACAGATGTTTTGCCTACCAATTGCAGATGGTATCCAGGTTGTCTATGCTTAATGAGATAAATTACATTGCAGATCCTACTGACAATGTTTTGTTTAATCCAGTAGATCCTGCCAATCAGAATGCTAGTAAAATGCTAGTCTCCTTCGGAAACACAGATTACACAGCATTTGACATCACAAGAGTGGGATCTAGGATTTCTGACTGCTGTTTTGACTGCAGGTCTTATCAGTGATCTTCATAGATTTGGTGACTGGTGGAAAACTATCACAGGGCACCTGCCGATGGCTTTTGTGGGATACCTAGGATTTGCTAAGAATGACTAGCTTTCTATAACTGCCTTGTCATAATTTGGAGATGCTAGATGGAAATCTACCACGAAAGGAAAGCGTCACCCGCTCTTGGATTTATAATTCTGATGGCAAAGATGTTCCCTTGAATAGGAAGTAGCTCTTATTATGTCAGAATCAAAGGGAATCAGAAGTGGCATCTGATTGACGGATGATAGTGCAGAGGGATCTGGGAACTGGGGTAGGGAAAAAGACAAAAAAAGAGGATGCAGATGAGGCTATAAAACAAGGGCAAATTAACAAAATTAAAGGAAGAAAAAGAGAGAGGAGGAAATATCACGGCACTTTAATAAATTTATTTCAGTATGAATGTTGGTGGATCGAAACCCACTGCTTCAGAGGCAACGAATGTGTGGTCCTCCAGTTGCTTTTGCTCCCAGTGCCCACCAGCCCAGTCAATGGAGGATGATGGGAGTTTAAATCCAACACTGGCAAGACCACAGAAGTTATCTGTAGACAGAAGGGGTGGTGGCAGAGGGAACCGTGTGGTGCAAAAAGACTGGTGAGTTGCGGGGGAGGGGGGAGAGAGAGATGGGACGAGAGAGGGAGGACTATAGTGAGAACAGTGTATCCTATGGAGTGCGGAGGGGAAACGGGGCAACAAACCTCTGGGGGTGCGGGAGGAGGAGAAAGAAGGGTGTTGGAAACAGACGAAAAGCGCGGGCTCACAGGGAAGAAGGTTCTGAGAGCCCGGAACTGTTGCAGAAAAGAAAAAGAACGGGTTTGTGAGGGGGGGGAAAGGAAGGTTTCACCGTGAGCAGCAGGTTTCAGCGGGAACCGTTCGTGAACAGGGCAGCACACCGACGCCTCCTTACCGGGCAGCACAGCAACGACACGTCGCTGGCCCCTCCAGGAAACGCCGGAGTGGCCCTCGGGGCGCTTCCACTTGGCATCCCCCGCTCTGTGTGTGTGTTTGGTGGGGGGGCGGGGCGAGCTGGAGGAGGAGGAGGAGGAAGACCAATTTTGCAGCAGCCTCCTGAGGAGGAGGAGGAGCTCCCGAAGCCGGGGCCAGGTTTCGCTCTTGCGCGCGCCCAGACGCCGACACGCTGTCTCGCGCTGGGTGCCTGAGCTTGCCCGGCGCTTGTCGATCCGGAGCCGGCGGTGCAGCCGGAGGGGGGCGAGGGGGGGGGGAGGAAATAAAGGTCCCTCGCGCCCGCCAGGCGGGGATTGGCGGATGGCGCTGCAGCCGAGCGTCTGGGAGGTAAGTTTGCTTTTCTCCTCCTCCTCCTTGCTTCTTTCATTCACATCACCTTCGCCTGCGAGCTGAGAGGGAGCAGCAGCAGCCGCCACCGAGGCAACGGCGGGCGGGCTGGCGGGCGGGCGAGCTTCGGCAGTGGGCCAGGCG